CCCCGCACGGCTCTTCAGCGGGGCTGCTCGCGCCCAATAAAGGGACGTTCGAAGTGCGCGTTCGTCCGGTCGTTTGTGGGAGCGTCTCTGCGGCGCAAGCTAGGATGGGGGTTGGGGGTCTCCAGCCCAGCCGCCTCGCCCGTGGGGGGAGGCGGCCCTTGGCCCTGCGCCACCCACCCCGCCCCATCATTGCAACCAGCCTTTGGGGACTCCGATTTTGTTCTTTCGCAAAAAAGCAGTGCCGGACATCAGTGGTGCAGCCTGCTCTCGCTCTTTAATCAGTTTAAGCCATAGTTCTGTAGCAATAATTGTACCCAAGAGCACCCAGAAGAGTGCAACTTTACACCTCTGCCCTGGGCCAACAAGCGATTCTGGGTGGAAGTCCAGCAGGTGTGCACATTTGGGCTTTTGGAAATTCTAGCTCCGAACCCACTCACATCTTCAACCAAACTGGAGCTTCGGTTGCTCCACTGGGTGCAGCCACAGACCAGCCTTCGCTTCCCTCTCTTCCTGGAGGGGTAAGTGAGAGGTAGGCTGGCCAGCATCGTGGCTCTCAGAGGAGGTGGTGCCCGTCAAGCACTACTGAGCTGCCTTGCCACGCTGAGGATGTGCTTGGCCCCTTGGCTCAGGAGCAAATCGGCCAGCTCCTGCCCCAGCCTCTCTGCTGCCTCTTGAGCCAGACGGGGGACGTTCCTTGCTGTGATGCCAACGTGTTGGAGGTTGTCGTCAGGGCCATCTTCACTCTGAAAAGGGAGGACAGCCCATGGAAAAGGTTCCTGGATAGGAGGAGTGGCAGGCTCACCCTAAGGTGAGGGTTAGGGTAAGGGAGGCCACGGCATGCTGGGTTCTAGCCAAGCTAGCAGCTGACGGCTTCGCTCCTTGCAGCAAGCAGTGCTATTATCCTAGCTTAGAGTAACTGCTTGGAAGGAAAGGAGCTGCAAGTCCAGCTGTGAACCAGTTCTCATAAATGGAATTATGTCACTCCTTTTGAAAGCGACCGAGGCGTTTACCTCCAGGGAAAAATTCACATTTCTTTGCATGGTCTCTTGCAAGCTCTCAGAACCATCAAGGCTGTAGACTGCCCCGGTCAAATACAGCTAGAGAGAAGAGGGATGTTGAACCCAGGAAACCCACCAGCCGGCAGAAGAGAGAAATGCCAGTATTTTTAGGCAGCCCACCTCCCACATCCAGCGTTAGTCCCTTCAAAGAAAAAAAAGTGCTCTCCAGCCTGCCCTCCCAGGGATCAGACAGGCTCCTGCAGGCAGCACCAGCGTCTGCCTTTCAACGGCCAGAAACAGCAGAAAGCAGGCTGCTGCTGACCCCCTGCCAGGGAGCGGGAGGGTGGTAGTCCGCTGCCTTTACCTGGGCGTCCTTCAGCAGAGTGCTCACGGCCACTGGCACGCTGCAGCCTCCTTCCTGCGGAGGAAAGCACTGGCTTAGAGATGCAGCAAGGCTGTTGCGCCGCACCTCAGAGGCCCCCGCCCAACCTCGCCAGCTGGCCAGCAGCTTCCCAGGCCTACCAAGCGCTTCATGAAGGCCCGCTCTGCGATGCAACGCAGCACCGTCTCCCGGTCATGCAAGACTGACACCATCTCTAGGATCGCCTGGTCTCTGGCCCGCACCTCAACAGCCAGGGCACCCTGGAGGGAGAGAGGGCAGCAAGGAAGGAGGGCCCCGCTGCCTTCCCTGCGATCCAGCACCCCAAAAGAGCAAGCCCCTCCTCGGGGGCCAGGACACCTTCCTTAGGACTCACATCACAGTCTCCTTGGGTGCTTCCCATCACTGAGCAAACATGCACCTTTGGCAGAGATGCTCCCCTGCCAGGGCTCTCCGCTGGGCAAGGGGAGTTGATTCCCTTTCCAACGGATCAAAAGATTCACCTAAGCATTGCTGCCCTGATCGAGAACGAGAACGGAAAACCTGCAGGATTCCTAGAGCTGTAGGCCCTTGTCACCCAAGGGGAGGGGGAAAAAGCAGCTCCCCCATTTAGCAGAAGGGCATCAGAGAGCAGCACTCCCTTCTGGGGTCTGCACCTTGCCCCAAAAAGGCTGGGCAGGGAGGTTGCCTCGTTTTCCAACTCTAGGATCCTCGGGCAGCGCAGGTCCCTTCTGGAAGAGGCCCAGAACACGACATCCAAGGTCCAGAGGCCAGGGAGGGAGGCACCTGGGGCTCCACAGCCAAAAGGCCCGCTGGTCACACCTGCTGGAAACCCAGGAGGTGCTAACAGCAAGGCAGAAAGGAGGCCCCATCACTCACCTGCCCGACAGCATACAAGCAGTCCACGGGGCTCAGAATCTAGAGGAAAGCGAGAGTCAGCCAAAAGACTACTTTTTAAAGCAGAATGGGTAAACGTATTACAATGAACCAACATGCTGTCCTCTCCAGCGGGACGAGCCGGCACAAATGCCCACCAAGGCCAAGCCCCTTCCCCTACCCCTGCCCCCGCCCACTCACCTGGCCAATGCGGCTCCCCCAGCCCATGCGTCTCAGGCCAGCCGCAGCCAGAACCAGGGCACTGAAATCCTCCTTCTCGTCCAGCTTCTTCAGGCGGGTGTTCAGGTTGCCCCTCTGCCAGAAGGCTAAGCAAAAATTTCTGTTTGTCTGCCACCTGCTGCTGGGAGGAGGGCACTGCGAGTCCAGAACTGGGGGGGGAGCTACTTATTCCAAGCTTTGGAGGGAGGGAACTCCAGACACCCCCACCCCCAGTGGGGAGCCAACCTCAGCTGCAAAAGGCCAAGCTCAGAACACAGGGAAGGCACCTGGAGGAAGAACCCGCCTTGCCAGTAGGGGTAAGAATCACCTGCGTTCCCAATTACTGCAGGATGAACTGGGCGATTCAGACTCAGTTTTATTACTTAGTTATGGGCAGTGAATCATTGGTGTAGTTACTGTTCTCACGAGCTGCTCAGAGACACAAGAAGAGCCTCAAGAACCTGCTGGATCAAAGCAAGGCCCATCTTGGTCCAGCTCGTGTCTCACTGTGCCCAGGCAGAGGCCCCCAAGAGAGGGAGGAATACCCCCAAGTACCCTCATACCCCACCCCCGGGGGCTTTGGAGAGACAGGCCTCCCTCCATCCGGGGGGCAGCACAGAGCCATCGCAAGCGATCCCCTTCTTTGCCATGAATTTCTCTACCCCCTTTTACAGCCGCTGTGGCCAGTGATGTTACACATTGGGACGGCAACAATTTCGACCTTGCAGCGACCAGGACAGCACTCAGATTCTTGGAAAGCGATTCTTTTCCTCAGGATCCCGGACAATGAAATGGGCTTTTTTCAGAGAGGCTGCATCTTGGGCTGGCACATGCCAAGCCATCCTCCAGGGTCTACTTTCCTCACTCCTTTCAGGTCAGACACACCCTCATCCTCATCTGACAACCACTGAACCCCACTGGGGCTGGGAGTGGGGGGCATGGTGTAATGGTGGTCCTCCTTCCTCCTAGGCCAGTTCGAGTTGGGATTGGTGGGGGGAGAGATCCAGCCCCAGTCCCTGCCCTGAGGGGTTTCCAGGGCTCTACCCTCTCTTTCCACACTTAACATGCACGTGAACCTGATGGCTGAGGCCATCCATCAGTATCAGCTCAGGTATCATGAGTACACCAATGATACCCAGTTATCCATTTCCACACTAGGATGGCCAAGTGATGCTGCCAAGGGCGAGGTTCTCTCCCAGCATCGGGAGGCTGTGGGGCCCTCAACGGGAAAGAGCAGGCAAGACTGAGTGCCTGTAGGCTTCAGGCAGGCCTTGGATCCGGAGACTTCATCTTTAGCTCTGAACAGAGTAGCCCCCCCCCAGTCAGGGGCCCAGTTCGGGGTCCATCCTGGATTCTTGGCTCCCGCTGGAAGAGCAGGGAGCCAGGATGTTTCTGCACAAGTCCATTTTATGCACCAAGTGCACCCTCTCGTGGATGAGGAGGCCCTGCTCACAGTCACTCTTGCCTTGGCCGCCTCCCCTTTGGACTGTTACCAATCGCTTCACACGGGGCTGCCCTTGAACACCGTTCAGAAGCTGCCCAGAACACAGTGGCAACGTAGGCAGACCTCAATAAGCGAGCTGTGCAGCTCACGACAGGCTTCCAAGTGCAATTCAAGGGGCCGGTTACCATCTATAAGGCCCTTCATGGCGCAAGACAGAGCCAGATCCTGTGTGGTGGTGCCACCTCTCTCCAATCGGCTCTGCTGGCTCCAGGATATCCAGAAGGGTGGGCATGCTTTGGAGGGGCTCCAGGGGACCGTGCCTTCTCTGCCACAGAGTCTCTCCGAAGAGGCGCCATTTCCCCTGTGGCCCAGACACAGCAAACACGCTGGCCTGCCACAAGGGCCTGAACCCTGGTTCTTCTCCAGGCTTTGGCCCGGAGCATGGGATGAGCCCGTCCCAATGGAAGGGTCCTGAACAGAACGCACGATGGTTGGCCCGTTGTTCTGTTTCCTGTTCTGGACATTGTTTTGGTTCGTTTTCATGCTTCTTTCTAACTGTGAGCCACACAGAGTCCCTTTGCGAGTTGGGCAGTCATAGAAACCAGATGAACAAATAAATGTGAACTTGGGGCTTCCTGAATCACAAAAGGATACAATATCCTTGAATTGCAGCCGAGGGAATTTTCTTTTCAGCTGAGCTGCTCGGCGAAGCGAGCTGGTCCCAATTACGCTGCAGGGAAACCCACACCAAGATGAGTGCGGGCCACTCAGAACCCCCCCTGGCCCCATTAAGAAGCCATCGCCTGCTTCCCCATAGGCGTTCTGTAAAGCACGGCAGCCCCACTCTCCCCCCACTGCACGCACACACAGCCAGCCCACTGGAGCATTCAGGCCTGCCGGAGAGCAGCTGTGGACGTGGCAGGGCAGGGCAGGGCAGGAACTTTGTGGGACAAAGGGCGAGGCCCTGCTTCGGCCAGCCCGCTCACCTCTTCTCAGGGAGGCTGCTGAGCGTTTTGCCAGCGTGCTTGGGATGGAAGACAACAGCGTCGTGTGGGTTTTCTCTCCTGCGAAGGGTGGAGGAGGGCTGCTTCAGAGACAGGGCTGCGGAGCTACAGCAGCCATTGGCAGAGGGGCAGAGAACCACACTCTGGTCTGTTTGGCCACAGGCCGAGCAGAGAAAGTGGCTTGAGACTATCAGGTCCGCGTGGCCACTTGGCGGCTGGATTGCTCCATGGGCACGTCTGCCTTAGCAGGGCCGTGGCTCGCAAGCGAAGAGAAGGTGGCCAGATAGGCAAGGCCAGCCCTTGGCTCTGCCAGTCAGGAAAAGCAGAAGAGCTCAAACTCACTTGCAGATGGCACCAATTGTGAAGCCTGGTGGCAGGGAGGTGGGCAGGTCTTTTAGGGAGTGAACCACCAAGTCCACCCTGAAAGGAAGAAGAAAGCATGCCAGGCCAGCAATGGGCAATCAGCATCATACCAAGCAGTGGCTTGTCCCCTGGCAAGCTGAACGGCCACAAAGTAGTGCAGTCCAGCTACAGGTGAATTTGCTCTGCCCAGAACTGGAAGGCGGCCGGAGGGAACCAGCAGGGCCCTCAGAGCCAGGGTGTCTGGCATGGAGTGAAACGGTTTCCTCTGCTGCTGCAAGGGAGGCCAGGCAGACAGAGTGCCCGGGCGTTCTGGTGGGGTGTAGCCCTTTTGCAGGGGCCCATGTTAAATTCCAGACTGTTACTGTCACGACAGTCCCAGAGAGTAGGGCTTTCCACCCGCTTCAGCAGGCCCATCCAATCTTCCATGAACCTCCAGAAGAAGAGCACTTACTCGTTCCTTTCCAGCGCATTTTCCAGCTCCTTGGTAAAAAGGCTTTTCTCTCCAATCTATGTTGGTGAAGAGAAACGTTATAGGAAAGCTGGGGACCCCTTCCAGCCCAGGGCTACCTTGGCCTCACAGGGGCAGGCGGGAGCCACAATGGCATCCCAAAACTCAGTTTTGCTTAATTTAAATATAGCCAGTTCGATTGCTCTGAACTCCCTCCCCTCTACTGCATTCGTAATCACAGCTGACACACAACATTTGAAACACTCTGCCCAGAAGCCCGAGGTCTCCAGTCAAGTAACCCTGCTTGGGTCTTGAGCCAGAGCACACATCTCACAAGCAGACCAACAGACCTTGGATAAAGCTGTGTCCAGGATCCGGTCTCCAGTGGTTGACATGGCAACTATTCAGAAAGAAGGAGGAGGTGGGCAACACACCCCAGCAGGTAACCATGGCCCCCCCTCCTGACTTAATTGGAGAACAGGTGACAAGCAGAAAAACCACCACCTTGCTCCTAATGCACCTGCTTGGGCTGTTCCCCCCACTCCAAGAACAGGCCTCCCCTGCCTTCTGGGCCCCCTTCCCAGGACGCTCACCGATCTCAAAGCGGAGATGGGGGTGGTGCCCCTGCAGCATCTCCACCACGCTGTCAGTCTGGATACGAGCCAGCTGCAATTTTGAGAAAGGAAGGCAAAGGCTCTCAGGAAGGGCCCCCCAGCACATCTGCTTTGGAAACAGATGAGAGCTGCTGCAAGGGGGATGCTATTAGCACGGCTTGTGCTGTCTGCTGTTCACACAAGAGCCCGGGCGAAAGGAAGCTCCCACCCCTCTGTCCTGTGTGCTGAAATGGCCTCTAGGTGGGCCTGCTATTCCTGGCAAATGTTGTTCCCTGGCATCAGGCACCGCTACGGGAGAAGGCAAAGGACGATCTGACGAACTCAGCCAGGCGTAAAATGCACCCCTGAGCAGATGAGGCTGGAGGGGGCAGACTCTGGCTGTGCAGCTGGGCAAGAGAAAGGGCGATGCAGCCCCCTTTCCTTCATCCACCCAGCCCCTACTCTCTGCTAGGCTCATCGCTGGCCTCCTCCATTCTCATCAGAAGCTGCCAAGTAGAGATTAGTTTTCGGTTACGAGGGCGAGGCGCTATCAGCCTTTGCAATCCCAGATCTTTGGGTGGATCCCTCAACTCCTGCCGCAACCGCCAGCGCACTTTCACATTGCACAAGGCTTCTAGCTTGCTTTTCAGCACCAGTCCTCACAGTGCTACCCCACCCCTGGACAAAAAAGGCTGTGCTTCTTCCTACGCTAAAAAAAAGGAAGCGAGGCTGGCTTGAGCCACTCAGGAAGGTCCAACTGCAGAAGCCTGAATGAACCACAGCAGCCAAGGAAAAGCCAACGTTTCCTCAGTGACCTAGAAAATGGTGAAACCTGGAAAGGCTGGCAAACGCAAGGGCACCCAAGGAGAAGCCTTTGTTGTTCTCGCGACATCATCCAAAAAACCACTTTGGGTCCAAATCCAACAGTAAGCAACAGCAATGATTTCAAGAGGGCCAACGTTTTGGACAAAACTGATGTTCGCTGGCAAAATCCAAACCCAAGCTGAAATTCAGTACACCAAAGCTCAGACAGGCACACGTGGGCAGCATCCAGAGGCAAATTCTGAATTTACTGCAGCCCTTTTCAAATTTCACGTATCGTCATACATTTCCCCAACCACAATCTGATAACTGAGGCCCATCCAAACTCTGGGGCAACAGAGAGACCACTCTGGGAGCTGGCAGCATCGCACTGTTGCAGCCCGTCCTCGTCTCTTCTGTTCTCAGAGGTTAACGGCAAGCAACTCTTTCAAAGGACCCGTTCTCTGATCACCTTTGCCACCTCTGAGCCTGATCTGATCACTAGAAAAGGAGCACAGAAAAGGGATCTGCGCACCAGCCACCAGAGCTCGTGCTGCAAGACGCTGTACCCGGGACTGCCTTCAAGAGCCCTCCAGAAGTTGCTGCGGGTGCAAGAATCGCTGTAGCCCCATCACTCCTGCAGCGCAGAAACGCCATCCCGAGGGATGATGGCGTTAACCTACAAAGCTCCCCGTGGCTCGGCGGCTAAGGGCCCCCACCCGGCACTGACTTGGCCAGGGGCAGCCGCCCGACAAAGCCCCCCGTTACTAGGAGGTCCAGGGGAAGGGCCCCAAGGGAACCTTTGGCTGCTGCGGTGCCCCTGGAGCAACCGCCCCG